AACAGCCATCTGGAACCCAGTTTATATTTCTTGGAATGTACCAGCCATTTGGCTGGCCTGGATATTTGCATACAGTTGTAGCTCTAGCTGTTATAGGAGAAATCTATTGGACCATCTTTTCAACTCACAGTTACAATTGTATGTTAATGTGTCTAAGTCAGTATTACTCAACCTTGGCAATTTTAAGATGTGTGGACTTCAACTCCCAGAATTCTCTAGTGAGCCATGAAAGTCTACATGTCTTAAAGTTGCCAAGATTGAGAAACACTGGTCTAAGTAGTCACCCCAAACTCATCTTAAGGGAGTCTTAAGGGAATTCTCCTCTCCAATGCATCCGTACTCTGTTTTAAATCTTCATTGGCCTAAAGCTGATTTTTTTTTTTTTTTTTTTTTTGTCTTTTGAGCTCAAGGTAACTTATGTTTCTATATAGCTACCCACAATTTTCAGTCATTTTTCAGAAGGTGCTTATTATTTTCTCCCATCTTTTACAAGTTATTATGTGTACCAGTTCCCAAGGTATGTGTTCAGTTGTTCAATGTCCTTTATTTGCTCCACATGCCACCTTCATTGACTTTTCTGAACAACCCTATATTAGAATTGTATTTATTCACTTCAATCATTAGCCATTAATTTCACTACATGTATTCAGTAAATATATCCAAGTATGTTTAAGATAGGGTTGCCCAAATGCAACAGTATGTAATTCTTTAAAGCAGTTGTGTCTTTTCCTAAAATCTGCAATTGTAATATGACCTTAGTAAAAAAGGACAAAGCTGCTTTAAAGAGTTATAAACAAGTGCTACAGCCTTGCTGCTATATGGCCCAAATCACATTTGTTTTGAAATGTGAGTATGCTGCAATATAATTTAATATGGCTTATATTTTACAAGCCCTTTTCTGGTGTGAACAAGAGAGACACAAACCCAAGACAAATTATTAACATTTCCATTAATGTTCATCCGGTTACATCAAACTGCATTACCTTCTCTCAAAAGATGACCCAAGAGGTCACAGGGTTGTTCAGTTCAGCATAAAATGGTAATACAATCTTCAGAGGAAAAATTCTACAACTGAACTATGAATTATGCTGGAGGACAACTTAGAATGGGATGTTAAAAACTAATGTGGTATAATCATGCAATTATGAGATAATTCCCTTGGAACAGTTGTTACCTTAAATAAGGGGTCAGCAACCCACAGGTCATATACATCCTCTGTTTGGTAACCCTGGCATGCTCATAGTAGAATTGCCCTGCTGCAGTGAGGCAGCAAAATGTCTATTTTTCAACTACATTTGTTCTCAAATGAGGCAAACAGATGTATTCAGAGGAGGTTAATAGACTTTTGCCTCCTTCCAAGCATTCAGAAAGGGGACAGAGGGAGAGGTGTCTTTCCAGAGCCATCATCTGCAGATTCTTGGAAGCTTCCAATAAATTAAGTGCAACTCTGGCCAGAAAAAAAGTTGTTCAGTCCATGTCATATTGTGGAGAATATCTAGATGAGTGCTTGTCATTCAGAGTATAAGCTGCATTTAAAACCCTTCAATTCAGGCATGGTAGGCTGATTGCCATGGAGGAACAACTGTTGGCAGAAACAGACATTTCTTGCCAGCCACAACGAATGTGCCATAGCATGTCATCCCACTGGGAATGGATTAGACAACAGGCCTTGTAGGCTTTGGGAATCAGCTAAACTCCTTATCCCCAAAGCAATGAAGAAACATCTATAATTCACTTGGTAACTGCATTTTTCTCAGTCATGGAAATGGTATCTGAAATATGAATGTTGTTACTTTTTAAATTTTTATTTATTTGTTTGGAGGGGGGAGGCTTCTAGTTTCTGATAAGCTTAGAGCAAAATAGCAAGCATCTATTTTCCCCTCCCCCCCTTTTTTAAAAGAAACATCACAACTGTTCATGGGAGCCTCATTATTATGTTACTGTGTTAACTAATGGTTACCTTGGAGATACCAGGATACCTGTTTACATAGCTCAAGTTTTGTAGACTTTTCTTTCCTGCCTTGAGTGTCTGACTTCAGTAAATTCACAGATCAGGTGAGCTTCACTTCAATTGTCCAGGCTTTATGATAGTGTAGTTTGATTAAATCTTGTTTTTTTGTTTCACCAAGTATCAAAATAGATGTTCATCACCACCACCATAGGCTTTTTTTTTAATTTGCTTGTTTTAGTTTACATTGTGGTTTTAATTTTAGAGATTATTTTGATTTTAGTCAAATGAACAGCTTGATCAACAATGTGTTTGGAATGCTAGAGAACTTTAGTAACTCTGGAACAGACATCTTGGTATGTGTACTATGTTTTTTGTTTTTTGTTTAAATCTCCAGTAGGGGAAAATAGATGATTTTTTTAAGAATAGTTATTGAACTCAGCATTCCAACCTACAGATAGACTGTCTAAGTGGGGGTCCTCTGAATATGCTGTTACCATATTTCTTAGTGTTCGCAGCTGTTATGTCCAAACATATGTGGAGAGTGTGAAGTCGGAAAAAGCTATTCTAAAGGAATAGAGGGAGTTAGCCTACTTAACATTTAAACATGAAGTAACAAGGTGTGTCAGCTTAAGCAGTGTGTAACAAGTTCTGTTCCGTGCTGCTTCTCAGCTTGAATTTCAAAAAGTATTAGTACACACCTCTATAACTAAGCTTGGAACGACTGCAGTTTCATCAAATTAGTTTGTGCTGGGCCGTGGAAAATGGTGAATATAACATGCATACCTTCTTCTCATTTCTCAAAGAAAACCTGGATTAAACATTACATTCTAGCAAGCTTTATTTTTCTTTTGCTGGGAATTCAGAATTCAGAATTCAAAAAGTTAAGTCCAAATTCATAATGGCCAAGTCAAATCCCATTATCCCAGAAAAGGGGGAAGGGGGGGTTCTGAGAAGCCTTTGAAATGAAGAAAAAAAAAGGCACAGAATTGTTTCCGGAATTTTGCACTAAGGAAATGGGCTTTCCATTCAATTTCCATTCAGTGTTAACTGGGTTCTTTAAATTGGCTGAGGCAGTAGAAACATTTGTCTTGCTACCAACCTTTGACAGTTTAGTGTCAGTTTTTCAAATACAGCTACAGTTATGTACTGCATGTTGTCCAGCTCTAAAACTGTTACTGTGTTATTAAACATTCTTGATCCAGAAAGCACATACATAAATTAATTCTGACTTCTATATAAACTCCCTTGTCTAAAGCCTGTAAGCAAATAACATTCTTAAGGGCAAAGTAGTGCAAGACAGTAAAGATGTGATTGGTTTGATGCTGCTTGATTTTGAAAGATACTTAAAGACATGGGAATTCTTGGGGGGAAAAAAATATTTTTATCTCTTTGACCAAATCTGCAACCTCCTATTAAGCTATGACCATTTAAGAAAACAGATTTCTTTCTTGTACTATTACTCAGTGTATATTACTGATCAATTACTGTGCAATTTCATATATCTTGTGCTTATTATAGAGAGCCATGCAAGAATAGTGATGATTTCATAAAATAAAGCGGGGGGGGCCACAAGATGTTTACACAATCAGTCATTTGTGGATTGTTGTGTTTTTTTCATCGAAATGAGTACAATGTGGCTTTATAAAGTGTCATTGACAATCTGTTTGGCATGTGTGATTTGTATATTCCTTGCTAGATATTTCTCTACTACGTACAAGGCATTCAGTGTATTTATATGGATCAGATGGGATACAAGGCTGAGCATGTGGTCTGCCTTCTATAAAGCAACAAGGGTCTATTGCTTCAAAACATTCCATTGTGTAATAGCGTTCCCTGGCCTCTTGCCATCTGCAAATCTCAAATTAGGAAAAATCTATTACCCTAAAGAAAGCTATTAATACTGACTCAGCAACTGTCATGTTATGCCAAGGTTTGCTTAATTATGAATGTATCACATTTGACTGAAGTCTTATAATATCCTAAAACTGATGATCCTCCATGTGTGGGGATTTTAGTTTCCCAAACTCCAGCAACACTCATTCTAGCTGGGGAATTTGGAGAGAGCTGAAATGAAGAAAACTAGAAGGGGCCCAGGATGGGAAAGGCTGTCATAAATATTTCCAAAAGATCTGTGTTGATGGGGGTCTATTAAGGCAAGATATCCTAGCTTCTTACTTGGATAAAACATCTTTTCCAAATACCTACAGTATAGCTGCAAGGTGTTACTGAAGTATTAGTTAATGCAGACTTTAATAATTGCATGTGGGAGCATTTCAGTTTGAGGTATATGCCTACAAACCTATGTGAGGTGATTCTGGAAAAGCTACAATTTTTGTAGAAAATTGTAAATTGTTTTTGTAAAAGCTACAAATCTTTGAGTTCTGATCATTAAAAAAACGATCTTTTTCTCTAAATAGAAATGGAATGTAGCAGGAAAAGTATCAGTCTTAGGGATTAAAATTTGCTGTAGTACGGTACTGCCAGTGCTATATGTATGCATTGTTCAGAAAGCCACTTTTCAGCCATTTTATGTCTGTATGCTGTATTCTTCTGTATGTGCTTATTTACACCTAAGCTCCAGTGGTAATCCTTGACTTACAACCATTTGTTTAGTGCAGGGGTGTCAAACTGCCGGCCTGCAGGCTGGACGTGTCATCAGGAAACCACGCCCCTCATTGCCAGCAATGGCAAAAAAGCTCCGATACGTTGTGCGGCGTCACGTGACATCGCGAGTTTGACATGTCTAGTTTAGTGTCTATTAAAGTTATAGTGGCACTAAAAAAGGTGACTTAAGATTGTTTTTCATACTTACAACCATTGCAGCATCCCCATGGTCACATTATCACTTGGCAACTGGCATAGATTTATGACAGTTGCAGTTTCCCAAGGTCATGTGATCTTTTTTTGCAGCTTTCTGACAAGCAACATGAATGAGGAAGCCAGATTCACGTAACAACCGTGTTACTAACTTAACAACTGCAGTGATTCACTTAATAATTGTAGCAAAATAGTTCATAAAATCGGGCAAAACTCACTTAATAAATGTCTTGCTTAGCAAGGGAAATTTTGGGCTCAGTTGTGGTCATAAATCAAGGACTGCCTATATATAGTGTTGCAACTTTAGTATATTAAATGAAGACTTCTCTTGCCCCAAAACTAGCAATTAAAATCTCATAATTGCCACACTCTGTGCTAATACAATATTAATCAGAAGTTTGGATGACTGTATGAAATGCTACTGTAAGTGTTGCCATAGGCAAGATTGAGCAACTCCTAAACATTTATGTTTGAACTGGATTTTCTAGAATAATGTGCACTTTGTTGTATTTTATATTAAGACATGAATTGCAGTTGGAAGCCTTGAGGTATTAAGTGTCTTCAGTTCTTCAGAAAGCTGGTAGGAATTTCCAGTATGATACAGAGTTGGGAAGACTTCATTTGAAATCCATTTTGAACCACAGAAATATATTGGAAACTTTGGTCTAGTCACTGTCTCTGCCCAACCTTCCTTGCATGATGGTGGTTGTGGGATAGCATAAAAGAGAATCCTCATATAGTTTGCCTTGGTGAATAAAATATAAAAATGTTCTGCACATTGCAAATACATCATTGGGGGAAAAATTGTTTGACATGCTAGTTTTGATTCTTTGAGACATTTCAGCTCAGTTTCTCCCCTATGCAACTTAAAAGCAGATAAAGCACAGTGGGTTATTGATGGATTATACTATCTCTCCCAGCTTTCCAACAGATTTTTCAGGTTAGAATCTTAGCTCTCAGCCACATTTCCTATTGAGCATAAGAAATAACAAATGCAGTATGTTCTGCTTGGGTGGCTGAATTATTCCCACTGGAATATATCAAAGAGATCAGAAGAACTGAAAAAGAGGAGTTTATTCGCGATTAAAGAAATACCCTGCTCAGATTGATTCATAACATCTTTTCATCCTTTCTTCCAATGGTGAAGAAAAGATCCCAGCATTCTCAAAGCTCATAATTTCTGAATAACAAGTAATAACACAAAAGACCCTCTGCTTTTGCTGTCACTTTTTCTTATGTTCTTTCAAAGCTATCCTGTTGCTTCCAGTTAGACTGTGACTTGGTTTACATGTCATGCTAAGCAATTTTTAGTTATTGCTTAATAACTATTAGAGCTTTGCAGGTATTTGGATGCTAGGGATTAGGAGAGTCTTGTATATGTACCACCTGTCAGGAATACCTTAAACTAAATACACCCTTTCCTGAGTTTTTGCATCAGGTGTAGTAGGCAGCCATGTGAGCCTAGGAAAAGACAAGTTTAATTTAACTCGGTTCCTGACAAGTACACTTACGTTTTTTTCTGAATCAGATTATTCCTTTGATTCTGGCTCTCCACATAGCCTAGTGAATATGTCATATTATCCAATTTCATACTATATGCTAAATAAAGACAGACCACATCACATTATAACTTAACATGGTATGCAAACATAGTCTCAATAAAGGCTGGATTAATTATGCTTTCACTTAACTTTTTTTTTAAATTAGGGAGAAGATATTGAATAGACTACCCCTTTCTAGTATCTGTGCCGGATTCCTTGGCTAGTAATGCAACTAAAACCCAATTTTTTACCCCAGTTATGTGTACTTCTTTTCAAACTTGGATCTTACATACTGTATATGAGATGGATAGCTGTATAAATTAAATTAAATATTTAATTTAGAGTCTATTTTGAAAGCCAATGTAATTGAAAATGTGTGACTATGAGAAAGTTCATTGTACATTTGTTGATTTAGAAAACACACATGATCAAGACAATAGGCTTGAATAAAAAATATTTTGCACAAATGTGGAATTGAAGGTTCTTTGCTAATGATGTTAAAAGCTGTATATGATGAAAATAAATCATGAATGAGAATAAATGGAATGCTTAGCAAATGGTTCAGTACTAAAAAGACATGTTGGCTAGGAATGTGAATGTATATGTTTTTATGCAGCTTATGATGGCTTGTTGAATAAGTAGCTAAAGAATACTATATGATGTAACAAGAAATATGAATGTGAAAATTAATATATGAAAACCCATGGTTGACAAGAAAAATGGAGTAAATTATTTTGGTATATAGATAAACAGTGAAAAACTAGAGGAAGTTAGTGAATTTGTATACCATAGATAAATGTTGACTAAAAAAAGGGAGTTGAATAGAGAAATTTCGAAATGTGAAAGTGCTGGTAAAAATGCAAAGGCTTTGTGATTTTTTGCAAATGAATATTTATTGAAAACAATAAAAATTTGCATAAGAGTATGCTTTATTAAATGGAAATGAGAATGGGGGTGTTTGCCAAAAGTTTGTTTGATGAAAAAAATAAATAGAATCTAGAATGAACGTGTGCTGAATCAACATGGATTGAATGGCTAGTTCAGAAGTACATTGTGATGGTTGTTATATAGAAAGAGAAAGAAGAGGGATCAAACTGCAAATCTGAAGAAAGAATAAATGACTTGATAGGGAAATGATAACTAAAATGTGGATGGATGGAATTGGTAAGATTTTGGAAAAGGAGAGTGTTAAATAAGTTTAAAGAACAAAGGCAATGTATGAAGTGGTGTACGGGCATGGTGAAAATAAAGTTAGTTTGCAAGTATAGAAGGGATATGAAAAGATACAGTGAACAGTGTTGATGTAAACTACGTAGTGTTAGCTATGTTTTCTTTTCTTATCTCATGCGTTAATTACTTTGGCATACATTGTCTTACTCCTTTCTCCCCTCTGCATAATGTTGCTTATTGAAAATAGAGCTATGGGGATATATGATCATAACCATGCTATTCAAAAATACTTTTTTATTGTATCTTTGAACATCACTAAGGTCAAAACAGGCAATTTTGTATTGGTGCTTAGATTAATTATTCTTAGGCTTTAGTTTCCCAAACATTCTAGCCTTGTTTTTAAAACTTTGGCTGCTTGTAAACTGGAAATATTTTAAAATACAGTACCTAGAATTTGATATTACCAAGTTTTCTGTAAAATATGGATCTATTTGTTTATGTATCAAATTAATATGGCTGTCCATCTGATACAAATAACTCTGGACAGCATATAATAAAACCAACAATTAAAATATTGTACAACAACCATGTAAAACAACTAAATATAAATAAAAATCAAGGATATTCAATAAAGTAGCACTCACTAGAACAACAGATTTAGTTTGACTTCTTGAGGTAATGTGCTTTTTCTTTTGAGAAAAGTGGTGTTTGACTTCATGCTATATGGACATTGCTTGGGTGAAAAGCAGGGATTGAGATGATAATGTGAGAACTGAGTTTATGACTTAGGCTTCTACATAGCTCTTTAGCTTCCTGTTATCAGGACAGAATTACATTTTATTTTATTTTTTTAATATAGAGCAACATTTAAAAGTTAAAAGATTGAGAAAGCAGTGACTTAAAGGCAGAAAATATAATTGCATAGTCCTTATAAATGTGTATGACTGTACACAAGTTGCAGACTTTCGGACTATACTATACTTCAGAATGTAGCAAGGTGTAAATAGAACATGCATTAATGACTTTTCCTAGAACTGATTAGACAGGATCGATGAGTGAGAATTTATAGCCTGCTGGTAACTGTTTTAGTCGCTCCAGCAGTTTTTATCTCAAAGCATCCAGAAAAGGATTCTCTGATCTTGTGTTTAGGGTGAATCATAGTTGGGAAAAAGTTTACTGGTGCTATAAATTAAATAATCATTGGTATCTGTAACCAGTGATGGAAAAAGAGTTAGATCTGTTTGTTTTGCTTGCAATTTAAAGAATAATAAAGACTTTTGCTAATGTTGACCTTCACCTCTGAAGCATTTCTTTCTTTTTTAAAAAATCAACAGATTAAAAAAAAAACAGAGAATATATCCTCCCACTCCTTTTTTAGTTGTTGTTTCCTACTTCTTTTTTTGATTGTCAGGGAAAGAAGAAATCATAAATCAGTTTGTAAAAAAGGGATATTTGATGAACATTTCATTGAATTGCAGCCTCAATGGATAGGTGATTAAACAAGTGCAGTGTGGTTTTGATTAGCTTATAATTCTGAGGGTTTCCTTTTTAAACTTGTTTTCTGCAATTATATTTGTTTTGTTGCACTTTAAACAGTAACCCATTTATTTTATTTACCAGTTTGTAGGCCACATCATCTTAGCCTTTAATTTAATTTTTATATTTTATTTTCTGATTTAGATTAGCTTAGTCTAGAAAGGGCTGTGTGTATGTTCTGTTCTACCTCCAGGTTCATGGTTTTCCCACAGTCTGTTGTCATCATAGACATTCCATAAAGTAGGTAATCTGATAGGTACCAATCCATGATCATATCTGAGTGGGAATTTAAATTTGAAATTCCTCAGTCCTAGTAAAACATGTTAACTACTAAGTCACTATCTCTATACTCTTGTTCCTTTGTTGTAGTTATTGTTATTTCCGGGCCACAGAGATAAATCTTATGATGAGAAGCCGTTTCTTATAACATAAAATAAATATAAAAATTCCATAACCTCAAACAGTAACTACATAGAAAAATCTATGTTCTCTCTGAGAAGAAAGAGAGTTTCAGAGAAAGATTTGAATCTATAACTCCTTGTTTACTGGTCCTCTGTTTAATTGTTAACTTTTTAATTGCTTTAATTTTATTTTAATGGTTTGACATGTATTGTTAACATTGGGAGAGTTTTATTGTGAAAGACGGCTTCTAAATGAATTGTGCAGTGAAAAGGCAAGACCAAACTTTTAGAACCATAGATTAGATTTAGAGATGTTTCAAAGGAATTATTGATCAATTTCATTCCATTAGCAGGCACCAAGAATATATTCTGATGAGTTAAACTTTGCTTTCTATATCTTCTTATGCTCTTCATTGAAATGTATTGGTATGTTCTCACTCTTACTGAAACTGCTTCACTTTCTGATGCGAAATAGAAATATCTTGCACTATGTACTGATTAGATTTCTTCCTTTTTAAGACTAAAGTATTATAAACATCAGGATTGGGTGCTTTTCCTCTAGCTTTGCCTGGGATCAAACTCTACCACTCATACATGTTTCTTACCTAGCTTGGGAAACAAAAATTTCCTTCTGACCCATTACAAAAAACTTTGCAGATTACAAATCATTAGAGACGATCAAGAAGGATTTGAACCAATTCTGCTTAGTATTGATAATGGCAGGTAATTAGAGAATCAGACACACTGCTTAGCTGGGAATTGCAGGTTTTCATCTGAAGTAGATGAAAACTACCACCATCTAAATTTAGAAAATTACATTCATTTCTTTGGTCCTAGTGATGAGTGAAGGATTATTTTAAGAGTGTATCATGTGAAGGCTCCTCAAAATCTAAACCAAATCTCATTCATTCATGCATTCTGAAATAGATTTCAAAATTTTTTATTGAATCACATAGAATCTGTACTTTCAGTTTTATACCTAAGGCTCCAGTATCTTTTGAGTTTGTACTGGGCCTAGATTAGATCAGGAAGTCAAAATACTTCAATATAAGGCAGTGGGAAACTGCTTCTGAACTGTTGTCAGAAAAACTCTGGGTTGGGGCCAGTAGTCACTGAGCGATTAATATAATTTCCAAGTGTTTTCAGTAACTGTGTTGCATTATTTAAATAAGAAACTATCTGTTTATTCCATGTTGGCAAATTATGTGTGAAACAACAATAACCACACATGATAAAAATAGATTTTGGATTAAAGTGTGGATTAATAAGAAAGAATTACAGCTTTATATCCTTAGCTATAATAGTTGCCTATATTTGGCACTTCTGTTTAAAGTGAGTCATTGTTCTTCAAATACTTGTGTTTGCTTAGAAAGAAACAGCAAGCAGAGAAAGGAATGCCTAACATCACTGGAAGATAGCAGGAATCACAGCGTATGGTTGTGGGTTCATTGTATGGTTCACATAAAAATGCTTGGACCCCCCTTGCCCCCCCATCACATCCATTCAGCATGAAGAATATTGTTCGTTTCCCTAAAAAAAAAAAATGAATAGCTGCCCATGTGAACTGCCGTGTAACCTATTTTAATGGTCTTTGTTTTCATTTTAAATAATTTGCACATTATATTCTTTGTTTTGTGCTGCGAAAATTTAGGAAATTTATCACCAGCAGACATATATTTTATCCCAGAGATATCATTGATATCAAACACATGTTAGCAATCTGAGGTAATTTTTGACTGAATTTATTACCTAATAATTGTGATTAGCTTCATTGTTTAATCAGTAAGGCAAAAACATAATAACATTATCTGAGTTATCTTCGCATATTGCTTACATGTTATGATTTATTTAATTATAGTTGGTAAATATACCACAGTTGGCTAGATTTACAAGAGCAATCCTACACACACACACACACACACACACACACACATCATATTATGGCTAAGCTGCATGATGTATAAACCGTGTCTTTGTGTGATCATTGAGATAAATGATTTTCATTTGTCGTCGTTTGAAATTCTTGAAATAGTGTACTTTAGAATATGTGTTACTTACATTCTTCTATTTCAGAAAATGAAAAAGAATGTTGTATGAAAGCATTGAGATCTTTCAGGATGAAAGGTGAATGAATTTGACATATGTAAACTTGGGTATGATTGAGAATTAGATCTAATTTGATAAATATACCTAATTATGCAAGACCCAATTCATAGAATCAAATGACACATTATCAGCTTCCATACCTTACTGATTTTATTTTACATGGAAGCTAGTATGAGTCGCTCTGGATAGAAAGATGGGTGGCATAAAATCTTAATAAATAAAATGATGAAAAAACAATGGCACTCTATCTTAATTAAATTATAATTGTAATTTATCTTGTAAATTATCTTAATTTACAAGCTTCTGGGCTACAGATTTATGTTAACAACTTTTCCTAGGAACTCAAAGTGGTGTACACAGAATCATCCTTCATTTTATCTTTACAGCACAGAAAGAAGCCTGTGAATTTAGTTGGCTTAGGGAAAATGACAGGCCCAAAGTTATCAACTTAGTTCCATAGCACGAACATGAATCTGGATCTCCCAGGCCTAATCAATACCTTAACATTTGTCTTGAAAAACACAAATAAGCATTGGAGACCAATGAGAGAGACTGGAGGAGCTGGTAAGGAACAGTCTCAACTGTTTGCCTTCCAGTAAATGCATGTTTTATTATTGCCACATCCACAGCAGAACACATAAAATATACTCTCAAAATTCAAAGTGTGCAAAAATCCTAATATTTTAAAATTATTTTAATCAAAGCTTTCCCAGTTAGTAGATACTTAGTTCGTGTGTCCATTATTTCCTAGTTTGTTTATTTTTTAAGTGTATAATCCATTAAATATAGCACTACTGAAAACGTATCTGGAAAGCTGGATACATGCAAATAGAATGGCTATAAAGTGCAATCAGGAGTCATATTACAACAAGGGTTTTTTTTATATGGAGTAGATTCACAATCTCAAGCTGGTTTTGATTAAATAAATAGTAGATGTGCTGCCAAAGTGAGCATGATTAAACTGTAAGTCATTGGCTACTCTTAACAAAGATAAGTGAATTAGAAGTGACAGATAAAAAAGTTACTTTTTCTTATATTGTGCTTTTTTCTATATGTATTTTGTTCACTACAATGAATGATTTGGCTTTTAATCAATTCGCTTTATTATCTGGTTTTTTTTAAATGAATCTGTCCTTCTTTGCGTTGTAACAATTAGCTGTAAATTTACAAACTACTTTAGATTTTCTCTTTCCAGTGCTGAATACTAAGGTGACCAACTTTTTTACAACAAAAAGGAGGACACAAATAAATTGAAGAAAAAAATATCGTAAATAAAAGAAACATTGTATTTATTGCAACAATAATACAGAATACACTATAATATGATCAATGCATAATAAAAACATTTGTAACAATAACATTTTATATTGTAATTATGCTTACATGCCTATTAATTATTTAAATGAGTACTTTTCCATTGAATGAATATTTTTTGTCAATGTATCATCTTCTAACAATATATTGGAAATATCTGAACAAGAAATATCCTTCATATTGAATTTTATGGCAAGTGCTGCAGCTAGAGTATCAACATTCAATCTCGATTTCTCACTTGTCCAAAAATCTACACAGCTGGACTGCGCGGGGATGGGCAGCGGAGGCAGGTGTTGTGAGCCAGGTGCTCCAGGATGGCCACATAGATGTGCAGGGTGAGGTGGTGGTAGCGCAGGTCAGCACTGCGTAGACCACCAGCTGGCGCGGCCCATGGAAGGTCAACTGCCCACCGCGCCCCTGCCCACAGCCGCTCCGCCAGCACCGCTGCCCTGCCGTGGAGAGCCGGCCCCGCAAAGCACCAGCTGAGCCAGCTCCGGCCCTGAGCCACTCCCCAGCACCACCGCCAACCCTGCACATCCCCGTAGAGCCGGCCCCACGGCTCGCAAAGGTACAGCACCAGCCGCACCAGCTCCAGCCCTGCAGCCGCCCCTCCCAGCTGCCCCCCAGCACCACCCCTCACCCTGCGCATCCCCGTAGAGCCGGCCCCACAGCTCGCAAAGGCAAAGCACCAGCTGCTCCGGCTCCGGCCCTGCAGCTGTCCCCCCAGCTGCCCCCCAGCACCACTGCCCACCCTGTGCATCCCCGTAGAGCCGGCCCCGCGGCTTGCAAAGCACCAGCCGTGCTGGCTCCGGCCCTGCAGCCACCCCCCAGCACCACCGCCTACCCTGTGCATCCCCGTGTAAAACTGAACAGGGAAGATCAAGAGAAACTTACCGCTCCAGTCTCCTCCAGCTATCTGCAGAACTAAGTAAGAGATGGTATAGTTGGGTAGCAGTGAGGAGTGCAAAGTTCCTGCAACTTGCACGTGCAAAGTTTGCCGCCTGGGTGTTTTGGAGCGCTCAGCAGCAATTCCTATTGGCTTTCGAAAGCCAATAGGGGGAGTAGCACAGCTCAGGCAAAAGTTGAAAAAAAACATCAAAAAAAGGTCCCGGAACGTCTTCTGGGCGTTCTATGAGGGAAAAAAAGCCCTGCAGATTAGTCTTCAAATATAGAAAAAGAGGACATTTAGGAGGACATTTTCGAGGGAGGACAGAACTCACAAAAGGAGGACTGTCCTACCAAAAGGAGGACAGTATATGAAAAAGGAGGACATTTAGGAGGACACTTTTTGAGGGAGGACAGAACTCAAAAAAGGAGGACTGTCCTCCCAAAAGGAGGACGGTTGGTCACCTTATGAATACACATGTGTCAACACTTCAGAAACCATCTTTGTTCCCCATCCCTACCCCTCACCCCCATAACTCCTGTATATGTAGATATCACAAGATAGATTTCTCTTGTAGGTATATTTACTGGAAGTATAAGATCCTTAATATAAAGTTACAATTTTTTAAAACACTGAAAGTGTAGGAACAAATTATTGTGAATCATGAAGATGGAATATTGGAACGTATGTGGACTTTTTAATCCAGGTTTTCCACTTAACATTGGGGTTAAAGACAATCTTTTATAGACAGGAGGCCTTATACTGGGTAGAACTGAGTAATACTGGTCAGTTTATTCAAGCTGGCTTAGGATACTTCGGGCCCCATAAACAGTTGTTCCATTTTGCATCAGAACATGTATACTTACCTTTCTTTTCAAACAGTGAGAAATGCATTTGATTTCAGTTCAGTTTTTCTTAGTAAATACGTTAAAAACTCATAAATATATATGCTGGCACTTTGGGTTCCAAAATGTCAACACTGTTGTTATCCTTTCAACAGAGAGATCTTTCACCATAATTGTTGTTCTCTGCCACAATAAAATCATTTAAAAATCTGCTACAATAAAATTCTCCAAAATATTAAAACCCTAAAAATATAAACTGTAGTGTTCGAAAATAAATCTTAGGGGGAAAAGAAAAAAGATACATATGAAAAATAGTTCTTGGCTCTTGTGTTGATTTATTAAAATGGGATCTTGCCAAAAAGTACAGTACCTAAAAAAAACCATTAAAAAAAAGAATCTTGGCTCACTTTCAGCAAGCGATTTGGTATTGGGCAAGATTAAAGGGAACAAATGCTTGTCTGGAATTATTTGATAGTTACTCATAGGAAATGCCAACTTCCAAGATGCTATTTTCTGGGGGGAAATGCTTGAAAATTAAAATTCTATATGAATTAAAAGAAAGTAGCCAACATGTACAGCTGTATACAAACATTTAGGCACCTTTGATCAAATTGTATGCTTTTCTTCATGATTTTGTTAATAAATAAAATTATTGTGTATTAAAGCTCTAACAAAATCATGAAGAATATGTATATTTCCTGACAGAATCCTTTTGTGGCATTTTTCCTTTTTTTAGGTGTATCAGTTAGTCAAGATACTGAGGCTGTCAACTGATCCTTTCAAATACCAAGAGGGTGGCCTAACCAGAAGCTTAAATACAAAATTAAAACTGCAGGCTGCCAAGGTGGCTCTGTAGCAACTTAATCTTGCTCTATAGCTTTCTAGAAGGGCGTTCTTCATTTCTTTCATTATTTTCCAGTCTGTGTTATAATGTTCCCCTTGATTTTCACAACAAGGTAGTGCTGGCTAATAGCGTGCTTTGTTTGGGCTGCTGTGTGCTTTGTTGCTGGTTAGACTGGGGCATTTTGCAGTGGTGCTTATGAGCTTCTCTTAATACAGAGATTTGCATTTGCTCTCTATTCACTAGATCTTTTTGCTGCTTTTTTTTCTTTCTTCCACGACCCTCCTATCCCTTCACACTTCCTTGCTTCCACTGTCACAGGTTCGGCATGCCTAGTGGGCTATAAAAAGACGCCACCACCAGTCCCACCTCGGACCACCTCAAAGCCATTCATCTCTGTCACGGTGCAGAGCAGCACTGAATCGGCACAAGACAACTACCTGGACAACCAGGACCACAAGAGTGAAGTCAACAGCCAGTCGGGACTGAGCAATTCTTCAGATAGCTTAGACAGTAATAGGCCACCTAGCGTAACAAGAGGAAACATCACCACTCCAGCCAATGAGCCTCCTGAGTTACCTCAGAAAAATGCATCTTTGAAGAGTGACAAAGGAACGTTGACTAACGAAGAACCAAAGGTGGAGAACATCCCCAAAAGGAAGCTGTCATCTATAGGAATACAAGTATGGACCTGTTTGTTTTCATTAGTACTAGAAGATGATTTTACTGTAACATTTCTCTAAATGTGCATACCTGTTTAACTGCACTGGGGTCGATGCTACTGCATGCTTCTAGAGTGATTTGGCTTTATAAAATCCTGGGTGGGGGGGACACATTTGAGAAAAAATGCCATTGGATAAATTAAGCAACACAAAGATTCGAAAAAAAATGTGCAAGCTCTGTATTTGAGGAAATTGTTTCATTCTGATATATTCCCTTTGGATCACCATGCCTAGGTGGAATAAATCACCATACCCATTCTGATGTATAGGATGTCACAGACAAAGCAGCAGGTAGAATTAAGCTCATCCCTTAAGGTATTTCTAAACAGAAGTAATCTCTAAATTACTTACGTTTCCTACAATTGTCAGTGATAATTAAGGTTGTTGAAGTAATTTGTAAAAATTTGCAGAGATTTAGCTTGGGAAAAAACAAAGGTAGATAATTTTTGGTCAAAGTACACATGGAATCATTAGCAAAGGCATGTAGTTGTTCAGATATATCTCTGAATTGATATGGTAAATGTAAAACGCAGAGAATTATTTTATTTGAGCATTGCTGCCATAAAGTTTGGCCATGCTTCTCCAGAATAAGATAATAGGCCATAGAACAGAGGTGGGGAACTATGGCCATAGAACAGAGGTGGGGAACAAGTCATAAAGGAGCCATAGTTCCCACCCCTGCCATAGAATAATGGAACTCTAAAGCAGGAGAGGAAGCAAGCATAACATCCTGATGAGGCTTTTAGGAAATTTCCCTACTAATTAGACTACATGAAAGCATGGAAAAGCATCGTATTTGGAAATAAATGCCCATTTGTGTGCCCTGAGATAAAAAATTGATGTTAAATAAACTGATGACCAACCAAGTATTTAGCCTTCCTTTTTGATTGAAGAAATGGTCACAAAAGGAAGCTTGGGAATCAAAGGTGTCTATATGCATGTGACTTTCATTTTAGCTCTCTCAAATTGCTGTAGAGAGAACGCATGTGCTTTACAAAATCTAATCAGCCTGCTTCTGACAAAAGATATTTAAAATAAATCCAGTTATTCTCCTTTTCACATCATGAATATCATCAGATGCTTGTTGCTTGACAGACAATAAAATGTCACTTAGTTTGGGCTTTGCCTTTGCAGATATTCTAATACAGGAATTTTGAAAAAGATATTTTACATAACTATTGAAACTGTTAAGCATAGCATTCTGCCATGTCTGATATAGCTTTCTATCAAATAATCACTACTTATATTTTATAACGAATGTGGCCATTTAACACCATGGAAATTTCTGGGCAATCTAATGAACATGGTAAGAATGTTATGCTACAGGTAGTCCTTGACTTAAAACCATTCATTTAGGGATCATTCAGAGTTACAACAGCACTAAAAAAAGTTACTTAGGACCAGTCCTCGCACTTATGACCATCACAGTATCCTTGTGTGATCAAAATCCAGATGCTTGGCAACCAATATATTTATGAAGAGTTGCCAGGTCCAGAGGTCATGTGAGCATCATTTGCATCTTCCCAGTCTGCTTCTGACAAAGTTAATGAGGGAAGTCAGATTTGATAAACGACCATGTGATTCACTTAACAACTGCAGTGATTTACTTAACAGTGGCAAAAAAGGTCATACATTCAAACACAACTCACTTAACAACCTTAAATTTCCATTGCTTAGCAACCAAAATTCTGGTCCCAATTGTGGTCATAAGTCAAGGACTATCTGTATCCAGCAACAAAAAGAGGATTAATTTGGGATTGTTTAATAAATTAATACTTGCTATTTTATAGGAGGTTTTGTGATAACATTTTCCTGATACAGTAGCAGCCCTTTAGAACAGGAGTTCCCAACTTCTGGGCCACAGCCTAGTACCGGGCCACGGCCTGTTTAGAACCAGGCCGCAGAAATAGCGTGCAAGCGCACATGCAGAGCTCCATTCTTGTGTAAATGGAGCTGCGAGCATGCTTGCCCTCCCCTCACATGGAATCATCTTCTCTCCCCCCCCACCCACCGGTCCGCAAACCCGGAAAGGTTGAGGAACACTGCTTTAGAAGGATGAGGACGCAAACAGAAATCCTATAATAGTATTAATAGTGAACAGAGATAGATTTCACATGGGATTGAGCAGCCTGGGGTGTCTACAGAATTAACTGCCATGAAACTAGGACCACCACCACCTAGCATGACTAGAAGTTATGTCTTAGTGCAATGATAAAGCTTGACTCTAAATTCAGCTCGTATTAAAATAAATACTGTAGATACATTAGATATCTATAGATATATAGATATCAGTAATCTGCCTTGGTTGCATTTCTGTTCTCATACCTATAAATTTTCTGTTCTCATACTTATAACATTTCTTTTAGATCATTTTATTTAACAGTATATTTCACCTTTGACTTTTAAATACAGAATTTTGAATTATGGGTAGCTAATTGTTCAGTTAAAAATTAACCTAGTAAACAGAACTGAAAATGAATGAAAACTGCCTTTTAACATTATTTCTTAATAGGACAGTGTAACTTTAGCTACAGAGCCATAAGCCTAATTTTCCTTCTTTTTTCCCCCACCCCCATTCAGAACTTTTAGTCACTCTGAGTCAGTGTTGGGCATTAAATATCTGATTGGCTCCATTGCAGATTCTTCCTGATCTTAACAAAACAGTTTTGCTGCCTTTTGATGTGTGGTGTCTGCATGATCACTATGTGTGTGTTTGTGTGCATGCATGCCTCTCCCCTTCTAATGTGAATTCTAGCAGCAAGTTTTTGTGTTTTTGTTTTTTTGTTTGTATCTTTTTGTTAATAAGGTTGACTGCCTTCAACCAGTGGCAAAAGAGGAGCTCCCTCCATCAGCCACCAAATTCCAGTCCATCGGGGTACAGGTAGAGGACGAGTGGCGGTAAGTGGAAGACACAGGTTTTTTTTTTTTTAAAGGAAAAAAAAAACCATGCAGTTGCAATCTCCCAATTTATAGTTTAGTTTCTTTTTTCCTATTCCAAATCACCGTTTGGGTAGTGGTGATCCCCCAAACCCTTTCTCAACAGCAAGTGCTCTCACCAAAACAAAGAGGCTTAGTCATGTAAGAGAATCATTGGAAGTCTGAACTGAACAATAGAACAGGAGATGTAATTATAGATGCGTGCCGGTTTTTGTTTGGATGGCCTACTGCAGTAAGCAGGCAACCTTATAATTTCGTCTGTCTGCATGTATGGTGTGTGTATTTGTGTGCAGGGAAAGATGGGCAAGGAAATGCAGTTCAGCTGCAGACACATAAACAAATACATATTGTTGTCTCTGTGTGCTGGGGAATGGATCCAGTCCCTTCTGTAAGGGTTGCTTTTCCTGATTGTCTCTTGACCTTCTTTCATTTTATAGCAACAGCCACTCTCACAGCATGTCCAACAAACAGGATACAGATTCTGACTCTCTAGACCTGAATAATTCTACCTGTAAATCATCTGAAAGAAACCTTGCTGATTGTTCCCCCTGCAACAACTCCAACAACCTTGATGCTAACACGAGGCAAGCAGCCATGCCCTCTGAGAGCAAGAAAAACCTCTCCTATGGAGATAGCAATGACCCAGCCCTGGAACCTTCCTCTCTCCCTCCTCCTGATCCTTGGCTTGAAACATCCACCAACACTACATCAGAACCAACACAGCCGGGAGCTTGCCGAAGGGATGGGTACTGGTTTCAGAAGCTACTGCAGGCAGAGACAGAAAGGTTGGAAGGGTGGTGTCGACAGATGGACCAAGAGACTAAAGAGAACAATCTCTCTGAAGAAGGTGAGCAAGGATGATAACCTGGCTTTAGTGAGATTTGAAGCTTAAAGTGGGCAAAATCTTTCCATGCCACGAGTGCAAAGCTGGGCCCAAAAGCAAGTTATTGGAAGGAAGTCTATTTCTATATGTTAGGGATTGTGCAGACAAACAACAGGACTCTGTATATACTAATTCCTTTTTTTTTTTTTTTTTTTTTTTTTTTTTAGATTTCAGTTTTGATTAACCATAGTCAATGCAGAAAACAGTTGTTCCAATTGAGGTGGTGTGCCACTTCTTTGTTTTCTCTGATACCCTGGAGGGAAATATTGCATCTTTCTTTCATTTAGAAAGATGCCATGGTGCCATCAGCACTCTATAATTCTGAAGAAAGTTAAATGTACAGTACGTGGAGTTTTAAATAGGAATCTTTTTTTCTGTGTGGTTAGGAAGAGAGTAGGGCAGGAAGTTCTAAATCTCTTTTTGGCAACAAACCAATTTCTAAATTTTTCACTTGTTAGGGAATATAGGCTGTTGGACTCTATCCACACATCAGAGTTGACAAACCTACGGTGATTAGAAGTCCTGGGCCACAAACCTGTGCTTAGAAAGTTGGATTCTTGAATGTTCACTTTGTAGCTACGAATACTGTGAAAAGAGTTGAGGGGGAAATAGCACTGGAAATCAATTTTCTCTGCCTCCCCTAAAGACTTCACTGGCCTGCTATCATAAACAAAGTGTCATGCAGCAGTGTGACTGCCTGCCATTTCTGTACAGGCAGTACAAATGTTGGCAGTAGAAAGAACATGGGATAACCAAACATCATGCACTGACAAAGAAACCAGAAATCATTTGTAATGGCTTGCCTTTAATGGCTCTGAGTGTGAGAAAGAGTTCTGTTCTTGGAAGGGGGGAAGTGCTTCATTAGTCGGAACTTGTGACATATGCAGAAAGGTCAAAAGAGGTCTTTTTACCTTAACTCTCCTGGAATTTTCTGTTTTTGAATTATTTATCTTGCTTGACTGTTTTTCTGTCTTTCTTTCTCTCCTATTCAGTCTTAGGCAAAGTCCTCAGTGCAGTGGGCAGTGCACAATTACTAATGTCACAGAAATTCCAGCAATTCCGTGGCCTCTGTGACCAAAACTTGGTGAGTGTGCAAATCTCTGTTATTTGTATCAAACTCACTACTCCAGCATGGCATATAGTCTTACACCACCCATCTCCACTTTGGGGTGGTTATTTAATTGGATTCAGAGAGAGTGCAGATAATATTGGACCACCCCTGACAATGAATGGATCCAGAAGAGTTGCAGAGGGAACCAGGATTGTTTGTGATGGTCTGTTTCATAATCCGACTGAGACCTTAATTACCACTTGGTACAAGAGGGCGGCTATGAACTTGAATCAGCATGTGCCCATGTGACCTCTCCTTTCTCATGGTTTCTGCTACTTTCCATGGTTTATGGAACAGCTAAGGAAGAAGAAATGGGAGAAGAGATATCTAAAGCACAACTGGAGGTCAACAAAGACTGAACTCAACCAAATAGGAGTCTTACCTTGTGGCAGACAATACATCTCTGTCCTTATTGCATCTGTGGGTTGCTGCCCAGTGGGTGACTCAGGCTCTTCTGGGTGGAGAGAACTCAAGAGATTCATTGTGCAGAGAAATTTTCAGAGCATCAGTCAGACAAAATTACTTGAATTCATTCCCAGTTAGACACTAGCTTTGGTGCAGGTCCTTATGGATATGCCTGGGGCAAAAGCTTGCCCTGTTATAGGGAATGGTTTAGTGGACTGGGCATTCAGAAGTGGACAGGATCCTTATGACTATGAGCTCAGCTACTAGCTCATTAGATTCATGTCTCTGCTGATTGGCTAAGACTGCCTGGCAGATGACATGTGGATTGGTGGTGAATTCATTATTCTAACTAGATGAATGAACCAAGGAAGTATTGGTTCATCTCTCCTCAAGAACCTCCCTATTTCAGGGAAGGTTATGCAGCAGTTTTAACAGATTCTGGATGAAGCAAATTATCTGGACCCCTTTCAGTCAGTATTGAACTCTGTGCATGGGACAGAAATGGCATTGCTTGCACTTTTGAATATTCTCTGAAATGAGCAAGATAGGGGGCAAGACCGAGTGGTCTTAGGTCTTTCTGGATCTGGGACTTTACTATCTTTGGTGTGGATAGGGTGGTAGATCCAGTGCATAATCTGGGGGTCCGTCTGGATTTATGATTATTGCTTAAGGAGCAGGTGGCAGTTGTGGCTAAGAGGACCTTTGTACAACTTTATGTAGCGCAGCAGTTCCACCCATTCCTGGATCATGAGGCTGCTCACAGTTACTCATGCCCTGGTCACCTCCCAAATGGACTACTGCAGTGTGCTCCACATGGGGCTCCCCTTGAAAAGTATCCTGAGGCTTCAGTGGATGCAAAATATAACAGCACAGGTGGTTAGTATGCCTCTAGGAGGACACACATCACACTTCTGCTCTGTGTGCTGCATGGGTTACCAGTTTGCCTCTGGGTGCAATTCAAGGTGCTGTAAAGATTGCCTTTGATTCTCCTGAAGATTTGGGAGTAAGAAATTGAAGATAAGTATTGTATTAGATTCTTTGCTATGAATAGTTATCTTTGACGCTAAGGAATAGACCTTGATTCTTGTTCAGAATAGACTACAATGCAATTGCCCTATTGCTCTTGAGAAATTTCTTTGCTTGGCAAATGCAGGAACAGTCAACAAATAGTATTGACAATAATAACAGCCTACTCTGTTATGTAGTGAAACATTGATATAAAAGAAATAAAGTCCATTTCACCAAATTGCACATGCTACTTGCATTCAAATCATGCATAAAAACGGACCTGAACTTGGATTTGTTCATTACTGTTAGCATGAACTTTAAAACTATCTGCAATTCTAGTCAAGTTCAATTCATTTTTTAATTCTAAATGAACTGCAACATTTTAGGGGAACTTCATCTACCTTATTTGTTCACTGCAGAACCCCAATTCCAATCCTAGGCCCACAGCACAGGACCTTGCAGGGTTTTGGGATCTCTTACAGCTGTCCATTGAAGACATCAGCATGAAATTTGATGAGCTGTACCACCTAAAAGCTAACGGTTGGCAGGTGACAGAGCCGTTGGAGAAGAAGGTAAGCATCAAGAACACCAAAGCCAAACTCCGGCAGTATAGATGATGCAATTTTTGTGGATTTATATAGAATCTTTCTTGTCCATGTTAAACATCTTATTGCCTGTACTGCCATGCTTCCAAATATCCTGTGCAAATCTCTATATAATATGATATTTTACAATTTGTTAAAATGATTGTATATTTAAAAAATTATAGTAAAAAAACCCAGTTGTTACTGAGAAAATAGCATATTGGGGCAAGGCAAACATCTCTGTAATGGCAATTCCATAAATGGGGCACCACTTCCTTTGCTTTACGTTGGATAGAGAAGGACTCTTTCCAAAGATTATCTTCCAAAGATTACCTCCAAACCTTGACAGATTGATTTAGGAGCAAAAATAGGCACTAGACAGTGTAGAACTTTATATATATATATATATATATATATATATATATATATATTATATATATATATATATATATATATATATATATATATATATATGTTTTCTGAGGTTTTCGCGGGTATTTGTATATAGGTCTTTGGTTGTTCGGGTTTTCTCCCGCGTAAAATTGGAAGTGTCTTGGCAACGTTTCGACGATTTTGCTGCTCAAAGCAAGAAGCTAAAAACACCAGCCTGAAGATGACGAATGTGACTTCGTCGAAACGTTGCCAAGACACTTCCAATTTTACGCGGAGAAAACCCGAACCAAACCAATATATATATATATATATATATATATATATATATATTTGTTTTCTGAGGTTTTCGCGGGTGTTTGTATGTAGGTCTTTGGTTGTTCGGTTTTGCCGCTCGAAGCACGAAGCTGAAAACACCAGCCTGAAGATGACGAATGGGACTTCGTCGAAACGTCGCCAAGACACTTCCAATTTTACGCGGGGAGAACACCCGAACAACCAAAGACCTACATATATATATATATATATATATTATTATATATATATATATATATATATATATATATATCCATGAAGTCAACTGCAATGAAGCTTGATATGTGTGTGTGTGTCTATATATATATATCTATATATATATAATATATATATATATACACACACACACACACACACACACACACACACACACACACACATACACACACATATCAAGCTTCATTGCAGTTGACTTCATGGACATGTCCATGGGGTTTTTGGCAACAGTGCAAAGATATAATCAACTCTCAACTTAGCCTACAGATCTAGTATTTCTTGGAAATCTCGTACCTAAATACTAATCATATCTGATCCTACTTAGGTTTTCATACCAACACAGTTCAAATTGTGCATTGTCTGGACTGAAAGCTTGTGAAGTTCTTTCAAGAGCCAGCAAGAATTGTTCAAAATAACTTGCTGCACTACTGTCTGTTAGCATGTCTACAAAAGCAGCCACACATATGATTATTTTGAGTTTAGGAATCCTTCCCTCACATTATTTTGAAATATATTTTTCCCAAGTAAAATCCACCTGTTATACTTGAAATTGACAAGTTTTCTTTAGAGCACTTATGTTATTTTGATTATTCACAATAATGTTTAACATAAAATGTGAAGTACTTCAATTATTCCTCCAATATTACCTTATTAATGTATCCAAAAAGGTGTAAATAATTCTGATAGTTTGCAAAATTTGGAGCAACTTTGGTGTAATTACTTTGCTCGTACTCATGTTGCATATTGTAAATACTTTGATGTGTTCCCTGAGTGTAAATCTCTTCCATCTGATTTAATTCAAATTGTCATAACAAATTGGTAGTTTGTCTTGGAAAATTGATTCAATTTGGATTATACGAACACATGGTTACCATCACTACCTTGATTTTTTTTTTATTCCCGCTGTGGATATCCCTGACTGCAATTTTAACTCTAGCAAAGAGCAAAGAAAGTTGAAGGTATGGATGTGCAAAGCTCTCCATTTTGAGAACAGAATGTTTCAGAGAAGTTTTGAACGTTCCATTTCCCATCCAGTCTACCCAGAACCTTTCTGTTGGGAATCTGGTGATTTTCACAAATAACTCTTCTGACTTAGAAGCAATTCAAGGTTTCCTGGGAGTGGTTCAGTCCAAATCAAAGTTTCCTTTTGTCCAGAAGGCATGTCTCAAAGCCATGGCAATTTCCAACACTTCTGATATGGAGGAGTTACTTTTAAAAACTATTGATTCTCTGTTCCTAAGTTTGTATATCTGTAGTAAAAGATATTATAGCATATGAACAATCCATGATTCCTTGTCAGACATCCTCTTTTTGAATCTTAACTTTAGTCCTGTCCATTATTGTGTCTCTCTATTACTATATTAAATTTAACTCTGATGCTTATAAATGATGTTATATGCTGATTCTGTCACTTTGAATAATGTAACTGGAGCTTCAAGAGAGTTATTTTATTTAAAATTTGATTAAATATAGCCTGAATTTTATTGCCTTAAATTAGTCTAATAGTGATGGGATTTTGACAATTTTGTTCTATTTTGCCTTAAAAAAATATTTCTCACATAATCATTGAAAGCAATTTTAGATTAAAATCTAGTCATGCAAAGTAGATTTAAATTTGGGGGGGGAAGCAAAACTGTTAGCTTTTTTAATTAATGGTTTGCATTCCTTAGTTTAAATTTGGTATATGAAAACTCACCAAAGATAAGGGAAAAGAAATACAGGTAATCTTCAACTTACAACTATTTCTTTAGCAATCATTTAAAGTTGCAGCGATACTGAAAAAAAACAACCTCTGAGCAGTCCCCCTGCTTAAGACCGTCGTAGCTTCCCCGGAATTAGGGGATCAAAATTTGATTATCTGGTAACTGGCATGTATGTATAACAGTTGCAGTATGGGGGGAGGAGTGTCATGTGATCACTATTTGCAACCTTCTCGCCTGGCTTCTGACAAGCAAAGTCAATGAGAGAAAACAGATTTTCTTAATGACCATGTGATTTACTTAACAGCTGCAGTGGTTCATTTAACAACCATGACAAAAAAGATCATAAATCGGGTGTGAATTTACTTAACAACCACTCTGCTTAAGCAGTGGAAATTCTGTTCCCAATTGTGGTCATAAGTCGAGAACTACCTGCAAAATAAAGGAGGCAGGAGTGGGATTATTGATACATAGATGCACTAGCAACTGTACTTCATTTTTAAAAACCCACTTCTGTCTGTGCTGTGTAATATTGAGAGCTATGAATTCTGTTTTTCTACATGTTTGCTATTATTCCTCCCTAAAGGAAGAAAAGAAACCACCCCCTCCTGTTCCAAAGAAGCCAGCTAAACCGAAATCTCAGCTAAACCGGGATAAGGCATCTGACTCAGTGGACAAGCAGCGCCAGGAAGCTCGCAAACGCCTCATGGCAGCCAAGCGCGCTGCCTCCGTTCGACAAAACTCTGCCACTGAGAGCGCGGACAGCATTGAAATCTACGTTCCTGAGGCACAGACCCGTCTTTGAGCAAAGGGAAGAGGAAGAAAACACTTTTTTTTCACACCATTAAAAGAGGGGAAAAAAAGGGGGAGGGGTTCACTAAACAGTAGTGTGCTTTCTTTGGTCTAGAGACACCAGAGCCAACCCTGCTAAGGGCTCCCAATTAGACCTTTCCTGGTTCTGTGCTTTGGTTTTTCTCCTCCCCATCTTTCACGCTGGCTGTGATGTGGCTGAAAAAACTCTTGGAAACACAGTCCTTTACACTTGGAACTGCAACCTTTTTACTTGTCAATCTGAGGATAATTATTAGCTTGTTTACATGAAATGGACTAAATTGAAACAAACAAACAAACTCCCCTTGCCCACCTTCAGCACTTGCCATGCTGTGCTTTCTCCACCCCAAATCCTTTGGCTATTCGTTCTGTCTTCTACCCCAGAAAATCTCCTTCTCTCCACCCTCACTGTTTTTCTTGTATTTTATAGTTGTTCTCCTCTTTGCCATCCTTTTCTCTGCATGGCATCATTTACTGTGTTAGAAGTAAATTTTTCTTCAGTGCTCCAGAAGAAAACACCATTCAGCGTGTACTCTTGCACTCTGCTAGTGCGCAGTCTTCGGTTTTGTTACATATTATTTCCTTTATAGATGGGTTGGGAGTGGGTGGCCAGGGCTGGATTGGGTTGGAGGAGGCAGTAAGGCTTTAGGGTTAATATATCTTGTAGTCCAATGATGTAAACAGAGGGCACAATCTGTGAGATATAAACAGTGTGTTTTGTTGTAATAGCCTGGAAGCAAAAAAAAAAAAAATGTGCAATAAGAGAAGTGTTTTGTCTGCACACTCCCATGAATAGTGCTGCAAAAAGAGGATTTCCCGTCCAGGGCACCCAAAAGAAACACAGCAAGGTGGATTCACATGTTGCCGCACACGCTTTTCTTTTTTCCTGCACTCTCTTCCCCTTTGCAATTTTTTATATGTGATTTTGTGTGCAAGGATCAATGTATAAGAAACCAGCTGCTATACAAAGGGTGGGGGAAAACTCTTTCAAAGTTGTACTTAATACGTTCTATGGTGAAAGACAATGGTTTTTGTACTGAAAAAAAATGAGGTAGATATTAAATGGTTGGCAAGTTGCCCGCCTGTATGTATGTGTACATATGCACATAATACACTTAGTAGGATATGTAAATTTAATACATACCAATGCATACATAGCTAATCACACATATACACATTCAGATGGTGTCTTTAAAAAAGCATCTCCAAGAGAATGGGTGTATGTATAGCATATATTTTTACATGTACTATAGCTAGATGTGTGTAAAAGTGTGTGCAAAAATATATACCCTGCATATTCTCTCAGCCATTTTGGCCCTTTTTGTCCCATATTTTTGGAGGAACCATCCTGAAATTTCATTAGACCTTCCTCTTTCCCTCTGCACACCTATTTTGAACTAATCGATGAAGCCAGGAATCAAACAGCCAAATCTAAGTTTTTCCTCTGCCTTCCACATCATCCTCTTTTCCACTTCTGCACTTCTCAGAAAGCTGTGCACTGTATTTGAAGAGACAGAGAAAAGGTATTCAATGAATAGCCTAAGGTGACCAGAACCCAAAAGATTTTTTTTTACTGGTATATTAATGAAAATCATGTCAGTGAATGCTGTATATGGTGTCTATGCATAGGGAGTGTTAGATTTTTACCTGCCCACTTAATGTACAATTTTGTAATCTGTGAAAGCTTGACCATATAGAGTATGGCTTCAAAAGAGACTTGATTTATTCTATTTTCCTCTCCCTCTCCAATAACTTTACTTTGATTATGGAGGGTGCTTGATCAACTTTTGAAACAAGTGGCTGACTTTCACAGTTCTTCCTATTAAAATTTGAAACGCTTGGAATGTGACTTTTTTTACTTGCATTTCCAAAAGCAGCAGTGTCAGTAATTAGGGCAGGTGTTTGATGGACTCAGTTTCAGTGGTATGTGTTTCGGCGTGCAGTTTGTCAGTGGGATTAAATCTTAAATGTATGTAATTCAGCAAAATAGGTCTCCCGGTTTTAGAGAAGTGTTTGTTTCCACAATTACACAATTACCTTAAAAAAAGGTAGACATGCTTTTCTCTGGTATATGTACTTAACATGCTATTTACACAGAATATATTTGTCCATTTTACATCTTAGGTGTATTTACAAAGGGGCATTTTTAGCTGATGTGTACCCCTGTGTGAATTGGCATCATTAATTTGTTGCAATAAAAATAGTAAAGATCATGGGTTTTGAAACAGTCCTGGAAAACACTTGGGGTCCTGAACACAAGGACTTGTCTTCAGCATGCCTCCAGCGTTGCTAACTACACTTGGGAGGTAATTATGGGCTTTGGTGGGAGTGAGATCAAAGCAAGAGCAGTCAGCTGGTTTTCAAAGCAAGGGAACATCAGAAGCTTTGCTTCAAACTCACAGCACTGACCTTTTCCCCCCCAATGTTTTGTTTTAAAAGCCAACTTGGTAATAACCACTTGATCCTCAAAAGAGCACTGAAAATAGTTTCCATAGGTGGCACTTGCATGAAATGACACATTTGCTGAAGGAATTGAAATATTGTGGTCACCTTTGCATCAGTATCTCCTCAAACTGTACCAGAGGATTCTTCACAAAACTAACTTATTCTATCTACAAACCCATGTTAGCGATAAGATAGCCAATGCCCTATCTCTTCATAGTTCACCATAATGCTGTGCCTGTCTGTAATCCAAATCTCATGTCTGGGAATGACATAGCTGCTTTTCAAAGCATCTAAAGCAGTGTTTCTCAACCTTGACAATTTTAACATATGGACTTCAACTCCCAGAATTCTCTACCCAAAATTCTGGGAGTTGAATTTCACACTGTGAGAAACACCTCTATCTAGAGGACATTTTATTTGTGCCTTTCTGGGCCCTGAATGTTTTGGGATGGCTTAAATGGAATTTTAAAACATCTGCGTTCATATAATGGAAGTAGATCCAATTGATTGCATTCACTGAATCTTGTTCTGATCCCTTAAAATTTAATAATCTAGTTCAGCTAGAAACTGACCAAATTTATAAAATTGGCCAAATCTGACCTTTCTCCAGTGTGATTCAAGGAAATACCCAATAGATTTAAATCTAGTGGTAGAGCTACAAATGCTTAGGTGAATTGATTTCTTAATAGCAATAATTCTGTGGAACGAGCAGGATGCCTTATGCTTGTTTCCCTGTTTCTTGCATTTCAATTATGCTATCCAGTTTCATTGGTTTTCAACAGAGAATGTAAGCAGAGCTGGGGTTAAAATTGCTCTGAAAAATCCATTTGGTGGAACTGTGCTCCATATATGCTTGCCTAGTTGTATTTACCTAATTGTGTGATTTGTAAAGCAATGTACCTACTACTTTGATGACCCGTTTCCTCCCAACCATGAACAATGGTAATATGTTCCCCTAAGTGATATTTTTTAGTTTTATGGCAGGAAAAAAAAAAGAAGGGAGAGGATTGCTTAGGACTGTGATTGGTATTCATGATGGACTTGGCTGGTTCTTTTTCTTTTCTTTCTTTTTTTTTTTTTTTTTTGGAAAAAGGAAATTAAAGCCTTGTACCTGACCCATGGCCCAACAGTTTGTGATGTGAGTTTTGCTTCCATTATAAAAATATAGTAAAACAAAAGGATCTATTTGATGCTTCTATGCCTGTCTCCTTGCGATCTCTGATCCACTTTCTAGAATTAGCTACCCGATATAAAAGGTAAAATGGGCGAGATTAGGGAAAGTGTATTTGAAAACATCCAAGACATTTAGGATATCTTTTGTCATCTCTTAGAATGACCAAATTCATCTTTAATAAATGAACAAAAGCATTGCAAGAGCATTTTCCAAATCCATGTTTGTTTATTGCCTGATGATCTAGCAATGGTGGTTTTCCCCAACTTTGAAACTTAGCCACAAAATGAGATATTCCCCAATCAAAAAATTACATTCTTTTTATATTCCTTTGAGATCATTAGCAGCTGAATGTTAGCTAATAGGTCAATTGGTTAATAGATCTATATCTTGACCATTTGATCTCTGCCATTAACTTTCCTGAATAAATATTTAAAGTATTTACTTCAAATAGTGATGTTCTTGCTAGAATGAGTGACCCAAAGAAACTGTATTGAGCAATTAAATGGAATTGTATTTTCTCTCAGCCCTTACTATAAAATTGAATAGTACCAATGATCCAGCACAGGGTTGAGTGGCTTATTCCATCTCTTTCTATTTTCATGTTTCTTCTGAACTAGAATAGCAAATATCTTAGATCTGGGGACATATGGGCAACATTCTCTTTATCAGGTTAAACTTGAATTTCAAGCTCTGTTCTTACAGAACTCTCTATTCTGTCTTTTTTTCATTGAGCTAATTTAGGCTTCAGATGTCTTTTCTGACTCACCAATTGCATGAGATTATACAGACGGAAGAGATTACTCCTGTATAAAGAGAAACATGGGTTAAATGAAATGTGCCCTTTATATATTGGCTTTTTAAATTACAGTGAAAGATTTTTAAATTATAGTGTTGCATTCTGGTACAATAGATAGAAAATTAAATTAGGGAAGAACCCCCTGCCCAAATCTCCCTGAAATACAACTCCCATCCTTTGTAGAGTTCAATGACAAATACATTTCTACCTACTAGCAATAGTGTTCTATTGATGTTCTTTCCAAAAGAAGCAAAATATACATATACAATGGAAATTACTCTTATTGTCCTATTGATTACTAGACCTGTTGATTTCTACATCTAGATTTCTGTTTTGAGCTGTATAAAATTGTTATAGTCTACCATGCAAAAATAGTCCCATGGCCAACTCTTAATTCCATTAGTGAGCTGGTTTGTCCCTGGTAGCGTTCAATTTTATTCACTCTCTGGAATGCGTTTCTCTGGTGGTTAAATTTCTCTTCCAGTATTGAATATGTGTGTTCAGTGAAATTTATGAGAGGGGGAAAAATGCTGTGAAACCAATGGTAACCATTGGGGTTAGGAGGCTTCTGAAAAGCCATGGAAATAGTTGATAAGTACACATACACTATTCCAAGTCAGACCCAACTCCTGACAACTACATGGACAAATCTATGCAGTTTTCTAGGCAGCTTTTTCAAAAGTAGTTTGCCACTGCATTGATTTCACTGTTCCTGGTCCAACAGGTTAACCACTGGTAGTGATGGCAAACCTATGACACACTTGTCAAAGCTGACACGCCACCTTTTGGGTGACATAACTGCGTTCACCATCACCCCTTCCAACTCTGTTATTCTGTATTCAGTCCAACAAATATTCTCAGAAGAATGCCTCATTCTCATGCAATTTTTACAGACTATGTGAGAATGAAGTATGCTCTGATGCAGCCTCTGTAAGTTGCATGAAGAGGTCAATACTGTCATAGGCCCCAGAGTCTCTAAAAATTGCACTAGAATAGGGTGTCCTTTCACATTTTTTAGAGGCTCCAGAGGCCAGGGAAGCACAATTCTTCAAAGCTGCTTCAAGATCTATAACCTCATGTGTCCTGAAGCAGCCTTAAAACTGCTGCAAGGGCCTGTAAAGCATTGGGGGGCTTGGAGACAATTGCCCATTTGTGACTTGGAAAACAATCAAGACAGCCTTTTTGAGTAGCAGCTGTGGTGCTAGTGGAAGTTGAGGCCTATACTTCAGGCCCTGCCTCAGCATTTCCACCGAGTGCTGCTGTTCAGGGTGGCCTAGATTGGTGGGAGGGGAAAAATAATAAATTGAGATCTCAAGACCAAAAGATTTGCCATCACTGCAATAAGCCAAACTGAATCTTCATGGAGATAGGGAAATGTCAAATATTTTCATGTCCAACTGCAAAGTTTTCTTCTTTTGGATAGACAGTTCTTTGTGGAAGTATGGGATTAATTTTAACTTTATTAGGGCTTCTGAAATTAGTAAGGAATGAGTTTTAAAATAAAAAAATCTCTATTGTGGTAAAATAAGGTCAGGAGTGAACATGCACTGATTGCAAACATGAGTGACCAGCATGAAGTTACAGTCAGTGTGATTATGTAGTTAAAGCGCTGGCCTAGCATTGGGGAGTTCAGCCTCAGCCACAGAAATTCACTGGATGACCTTGGGCCAGTCACACTCAGCCTAAATTAATCCATGGGAGTTGTGGGGAAAGAGGAAGTACTATGTTAGTCTTGAAGTCTTGAAAGAAAATAAGGGCTACAAGTCAATAGCAATAGTACTTACACTTATATACTGCTCCACAGTGCTTTACAGCACTCTTAAGTGGTGTATAAGTATCAGCCTATTGCCTCCAACAATCTGGGTCATTTTACTGACCTCGGAAGGATGGAAGGCTGAGCCAACCTTGGCAGTGGGAGAGTCAGCCTGCAATATTGCATTCTAACCATGGCTCTTTATTATCAAAGAAGGTAAAACAAAGACGAGAAGAGTAAAAAAGATAACTGGAGACTGAGAAAGTTATGACTGGATTGAGTAGATGAAAAATCTTTAAAAATCATGCGAAGAGGTGTATAGGCGTGGCTCTGGAACAATAGGTTTTCAGAATAGAAAGGCGTTGAATAGCACGAATGCTCTTGGTACTAACTAGACTTAAAATTGATTTTTTTTCCTCTTCTACCTGTCTCATTTCATTTATTTTTGCTTATCTTTGCATGCTTACTCTGAAGATAAATGGCATGAAGGCTAAATGTATGCATGTTGTAGGATGGCTAAAAGACAGGCTAAAGGACAGTGAACAACTCTATACATCCTTCCTTCATTTAAAAACACATTCAACCCTAGTCTGTTAGAAAGTTCAATTTGCTGGGCTCTCACTGCCCTTCTCCCTCTCCTAAAGTTACTTCAGCAAATTTTTCAGGTATGATAAAAAATGTCACAAGGACAAGACTCAAATAACATCCAAATTTTGGTAGGATTGGCAAAGCTGGATTGTTCATTAACACTTTAGTGAGGGTTCTACAGATGCCTCATTAGAATCAATCCTGCAAATGGTATTCTTTCCAAAATGAGTCAGGCTGAGTCAGAACCACAGCTCATTAGCCAGTCTCATTATAGCCAGAAATAGGATGTGATGTAGGTTGTCTTGCTGGTATCAGGGAGAATGCTGGAGTAGGGTGTGTGTATGTGTGTGTGTGTGTGCATGCGCCTGATTTACAGCTTTTTCACAATTTTCTGAATAATTTTAGCATGTATGATCAAGTCAATCAGAGGTGGAAAGCCGATGCAAGCAGAGCAATTATCTTGGAGAGGTCCTAGCTGATGTAACAGGTAGAAAAGCACTAATCTAGATGTAGACAGGCTGCTGACCTAGACCTAGAATGCCAAGACTTCAGCAAAGAATCTTTTGTTCTCTTGGAGAATAAACAATAGATTTAATCTGTAACTTGGCTCTGCTGCCCATTCTCATAGATTAAAAAGTTATTCCATCTATATTCTGTACAATAAATTAGTAAAATGGCTAGTTAGTGGAGAGAAAAGTAAGTTCTTCCTTTGTGTGTTTTTGTACACAGAATATTATCCAACATTAAAACCCTTCCTATCTCCAATCATGATGGTAAATAATTTTCTGGGAAATCTTCCTGATAAATACTGATCACTATGATCTTAATATTAAATGGTAGGTAGAAAGCACATTCATATGAGCAAACCTTTTAAATAAGATTAATTGCAATGCAGCTTAAATATTGCAACTTGAGCTAACTCAACTGGAATGCATATTAAGATGAAATCTTAATCAACTGAAGGCAATAAAAGGTTTATATTAAGAGTCTTTATATATGGAGCTAAATTATGCTTGTCTCTTGTGTGCTAAAGGTAGAAGAAAATTTCTTTTAGAGTTTTTTTTTTTCCAATGGCTGATTTTAGTGTCTTATAAGTAAATTAACCAAAGCACAGTAATTTTGCAAAAGAATTCTGTCCCAGGAAATCCTGGTGTTAACTTCTTTGTATAAATGATGTTTTTCTGTGAGAGATTTAAAAAACCTTTTGAATTTTGAATGCCTTGTTCTGCTACCTATCTTACTAACGGAAAAATCAACAGTGGCTTCTTGAAATATTACAAAGCCAATTTTTATTTTGGCCATTTCTAGATATAACTTTGCATCATGGGAGCTTTCTCATTTTGTAGCTTGTAGATCAGCCTATGTAGTACTCTCATTTGCTTCTGAATCCATCCCTATATATCCCCTATATACTAGTGAGTAATTTATAGCAATCATAACATGTGGACACAACCTTTCTTTTGCCCACCCATTCACTTTTCTTAAAGTACAGTAATTACAAACCTCACACAAATATACTTTTTCTACTGCATTTTTACACCAGAATACTAGAAACACATTGTAGATTTACTTTTTGAGTGCTTCAAGCATTATCAACAACATCAATTTGTTGTAATGAAAGAAACTATTCTAAGTAGAATTTTAATGCCAAGATTCATGAGATCATATCAAGTTAAAAAAAACCGTATTAGGTATGATGAAACATGTACATTATGTGAGAAGTGTATTTTTGTTCCAGGGATTGCCTGTGTGACATGATTATCCCCATTAAGAAAAAACATGAGAGAAAATGTTAATCACTAACCAAATGATGACAGAGCTGTCTGGAATCTCAGGGAAATCACATAATAAATTAAGTCATTTAAAAGTCAATTTGGAAACAGCTGGTCTGGATAAGAAGTCTCTTATACAATACTGACTAATCTTTCCAATGCCCATTTGAGAGCAGCACCAGATGTACTCCACCCATCAAAGTCTACAGTTATGTTTTCTCAATTCTTACTACACTACAAAATAGGTCAAGTAGGATGAGTTATCCTCACAGTGAAATGATTAGGGCAAATTGGATGAAGTGGTTACAAGAAGCAACACTTGTTCCTGTTTTGGAGAACTGGCCTTCTCCAGAAAAATAATTACCTATCTGGCTAATTTCACAGAAATCTCAGATTGTAAAGGTCTATTTCTCCTAGCTATAAAGAGGAAAGTTTTCTAAGACATTGACTCTTTAATTGTCAGGCACAAACAATTAGATCCACACATGCAGAGTTCCAGCTAACTACTTTATTACATTCTGCCTATAATACAGGAATCTCCCCAGTCTGTGAGCAATTGGAACTTGGTGAGTGGAGTAGATAGCCCTAGTGCTTTTGCAGTTGCAGTGACACTGAGCTAGATTAATCTCATAACCACAAGAAGTTTGAGAAACACAAGTATTTTATACATCCCAAAAGCACAGCTGTGATTTAACCTGCTGCATCTTATCATGATGGTACTTCTATCTCTTTAAGATCTATTATAAAAAAGGAAAAATGATGCTAAAATTAAATCTTTTCATACCATCCAATTTCATAGCATCCAATTCAGTACTGAAGATGATGCACTTGCCAGGCATGGTATCTTTTTAAAAAAACTTTATTGATTAAAAAAAATTCAAAAGTTATTTACAGTAGTTCTGCTCCATAAAGTTCAAGCAAAAGAATATTTTCTCTCTTGCAAAGTTCCCATCTCACCTGAAACAATATCTTTGCATCATTAGGACAAAGTACAGCAGTATATCAAAGAGCAGCGCATTGCAGGAACTGGATTTTAAATTTTCTTTTATACTAATGTTTCAGATCTGCTTAGGCACTTTCTACATTAGATATCCTGTGTATTATTTTAATCACACTGGTCCCACTCTAAAGGAAATCAGTGATATATGTACCATTAAAGTCAAGTAGGTTACTAGGGACCTGGGACACATCTGTTCAAGAAATTTCCATTTCAATAGTACACTAAAATAATGCCCAATTCCAAGCAGTAAAAAAATGAAATGTTGCTGCACATTCTAGAAAACCTTGAGTGGTTTCCTTTTAAAAGGATTTACAAGAGATCAAAAGACTGATATATTCACCATCCAGAACTCAACTTAGGATGAAAACTGGATACAAAACTGATGAATGCCCTCAAACAAAATAGCAATAAATGAACAGCTTAAGCTTTTTCCAAGGCAGCTCTGTGGGCTTTTTAACAGAAGGGGGGGAAGCACCTTTGGGTTATTTTAAAGATGACTTTGGATTGAAATGGCAACTCTCTAGGCACAGTTCTCTACATCCCATCAATGACATTGGACTAAGGGTCAAAGAGCATCAAAAAGGGAATGGACAAGGCTATGTCCAGCAGCAATTGTGGGTTTATGCTAATTCTCTTAGTAGCACTTTCCAGGGGAAGGGAAGAAGGTTGAGGGGGAAGGCACTCAATATTGGTAGAAGCCATAAGGCCTCCCACTTGAGCTCTTATTTTCCTACAGACCCTTTATTCTCCTCTCAAAATCTACCATGAAATCAATCACCAGCTTCTAGGCCTGATTCAAAGATATCTGACAAAAAGTTGTATTCTGCTGGGCTTTATCTTTACTATTCATGCAACATAATAATTAGGCTAACACCCTCTAAAATTAGTGTTTCTCAAGATAGATATATAGGTGTATATAATAGATCACTATTTAACTTACATTTACAGTGAAACAGCACTATTCAAAAAAGAGGTGGATGATTCTACCACCCAGGGTATGCCATTCTTGTGCAAGTCTTGAACTCAGGGCAAAAGAGGATATGAAAAGATGAATGCATTCTTCTAAATGGTCTGTCTTCTAAATGATCAACAGACAAGCCTTGATTTCCCTCCACCTAAATCCAAAGTGTATCCCTTTTCTCTCATTTTGAATAATAAAACTATTATTGGGTCCATCAAGACTATAGACATATGGAACACATGAACATCACATGGGAGCGATATTCAGAATTGCCTGTAGAATGGAAGCCCTGATCTGCTTGACTTCCTTTCTTGGCCATGAGAGGGCACCCTTGCTCCATCAGCAAAGGAGCAACTACATTCAGCATGATGAAAGCAAGGATACAAAAATACCCAAGTCAAAATGAATTCTTGTTGATTTGTATAGGTAGTTTTGTTAGCGCACCTGTCAGAGATGCTGCAAGATTCCCAAAGTCACACAGAGATACAGTTCATGTCCAAAATTAAAAAGGAGAAAGCGTTGTTTAAAGCAACTTCACATTTGAAAAATTTTGTTTTTTAGTTTCTTCCACACCTTTGATTTAATGCCCTCTCCATGGTTTATGGCTACCCTTCTGCCAGCATAGTCCTCTCTTTCTCTTCTAGTGTTGTACTTAACAGAACAAATGGAAGAAGGAGTAGACAGAAGAATGCTCTGTTATCGAAGAAACCAGCTAAATTTCTGCCAGCACCTAAAGTAGATCATCTAAAGCACCCTATGCTTTTGTTTCTTTTACTGGCACCAGTATTCACAAGGTGATGCTCATCTGCTCTTCCTGTCCAAGAGAAAGAATGCCACAATCTTTAAAGGCTGCCAACTCATTTGTTCGTTATGGGAGACTCCCACCAGGTGTGATGTAAGGACCAGCCACATATTCACACCAATTCAACCATATGCTACAACATGATACAACTTTAAAAGAAAATGAGAGGGGAACAGAAACATTTCCCTGTCCCCTCCAAGAAAATTGAAATTAAAAGTATGTTCTGTATACATAAAAAAAAAGCCAAGGGTGGTGAAATAGCTCTTTGCTTGTCTTCAGTTATCAAAAAGGAAAAAAAGTATTTGTTTCTGATAAACTGCTTTGGACTGTTTTCTCGTCCTAGTCCATGTCAGTGAGCTTTGAAAATCTGGGGGAGAAGGGAGGGGTGGGAAGAAGGTAAGAAGTATTGTCTAAATCTTCCACAACATTTTTTTTTTAAAAAAAGAGTCAAGCATTATAAAAACATCAACCAGCAACTACATCTTCTCAGAAGATGTTCAAGTTTGGGGCCCTTCCAAAAACAGGAGCCAGGAACCCCTGAATAGACCATCTCTTCCAAGCGGCTTCAGAGATATGATGCCTTTAGCCTGATGCCAACCCAAAGGATGAAGTAGTGTGTGCCCTCCTGTGAGGGAAATGTTTATATAAAGTTGGGGGTGCCTTGTTTCCAAGGTCAGCTGGCAGCATAAAGGAGAATGGAGGCTTCCACCATAACGGTTCCTGGTTTGACAAGAGACCGTATCACAGCATTAACTTCTAATGGGAGCTCTCGCTGCAAAAGCCAACAGAAAAGAAATTCTGGAAAAAAGAAAGGGCTGTCTCTGAGAGGAAACCAGAGGCTACAGGAAGTTACTTGTTTTTTGCAGGAGAAGATTCTCTCTGTGGTGATGGAGGCAGTTGCCCACTCAGCTTCTGTGAGTCAAGCTCAGCTGCTCTTTGCAGAGCCACTTCTACCAGCAACTGGAAGCTGCTGAAGTCCTCTCCAAAAAGCTCAGGTGGTGTTGGAGGAGGCGTGTTGAAAAGTCCACTGGTGGGACTGGATGCATCTGCCCGGGTGAGAAGAGCCAGCGTGTTGCCTGTTGCACTCAGCTGTGACTGCTTGGTATGGGATTCCAGTTCAATCCGTTGGAGCATGGATCGTTTCTCTAGGTCGCTGGTCATCACAGTCAAGTTGCCAGCCAGTGGCCGAGAAGTCTGGCAGATCACAGGGGGGCACACAGACATGGAGAGGACCTTGGATGTAGTGGCTGCAGCAGCAGCAGGAGGAGGCACCATCAAGAGTCCAGAACCTGCAGCAGCTCCACGGGAAAGTGCTACATCACTGGCTTTGGTGCCTCGGCGAGAAATAGTGAACTGGTTTGGGTCTTTGCCATCCTTTAGCAGCATGTCAGGGAGAAGTCTGCGCCTGGCATTGATGAACCAATTGCAAATCTGGAAGAAAGACATCAAAAACGTGGCATTAGATGTACCTGAAGCTGGAGGAAGACCTATGTGAACCCAAATCCCAGGTGATGGGATTTCTACCAGTAAAATGGGCACAACTGTACAGAGAAATTTAAGTAAAACATTTAACTGAGAGAGAAGTTTAAAAATTAAGAGCAGCATTATTTTTCTGTCTTGTATTACAACAGCCTCCTGAGGCAGACTGGATTGAGACAGAAATGCAAAATTATTTACTATTATCTGTTTATAAGAACAGGTAAGTTAAAGCTTACTCATTTTTGCCCTGGGCCAATCCATTTTCCTGACATACAACTATCTTCACAGCTAGTGTGGTTTTCAGCTTAGAATTTTTTTTTTATCAGGAACTTATGTCTACACATAGTCCTCGACCCATGATCACACCTGGGATCAGAATTTCAGTCACTAACTGGGATCAGAATTTCAGTCACTAAACAATGCAATCATAAGGCTGCCATTGTTAATAGAGAGTTGTGAGTGGTTAAGTGGAGAGTCCCGGGTAGGAGTGCAGAGGTGACACAGGAGGGAGGGGGAGGCCAGCAAGTTGATGGGATGCTGCAGTGCAGCGCTAAGCCACATCCGGCTCTGGAAGCCTCAAGCCACCAGGGCCAGGAATGCAGCATGAAGCTGGTGCCTCAGCCATCCCATCTAACCCAGAAGGTTACCCCCCCCCCACACACACACACACTCATCTTTCTCTTCCCTAACCTGTTCCCTTTTGTCTGCCCTGCATGGCAACAGTGGTGGCAGTATCACTGCTGGGGCTGAAGATCCCAGGGTCATCAGAAGCCTATCAGCTGCCACTGTCCCCAGGCCTCTAGTTCAGGCCCAGTGCCACATCACTGCCCCTGAGAAAAGCCACCCCAAGCTCACACCACGGCCAGCCATGTCAGCATCACTGTACAAAGCCCATTGTCCTGTCACTATCCACTCCCCAAGCTCTGCTGCACCTCACTGACCTTTGCTGCCTTAACCCATTCTCCAACCTATGTGCCCCATTACTTCTTCAAGCCAAGTGTCCATTCTTTCTCCAAGCCATGCATCCCATTCTTACAAACGTCCAGAAGCCTGGTCTTCCTCGTGTCCTGTGAGAGTTTACCCAGATCTCATGACAATAGGCTCACAATTTGAGAAGAAGTGGCATTCACAATTTGAGGAATGGTCTTCTGAAGCACTGCCAAGAACAGGGTTCCTGCTGTTCTCCAAATTTTGTGCCTGTTTTCATGATATCTGTGGAAAACCAGGTTTCCAAAGGATCTTGAGAATGGGACATGCAACTTAGAGAAGGAATGGTAAGCGCAGCTTGGAGAATAGCACAACAGTCAGTAGGGCACAGCAAAGCCTGTGGAGTGCAGGGTGTTGGGAGAAAACGGAGCTTTGTGTAGTAGTGCTGGCATAACTGTCCATGGTGTAGGATTTGACTAGGTATTTCTCAGTTGCAACAGTGGTGCTGGAACTAAAATAGGGCCCTAGGGATGGTGGCAGATGGCTGAGAGTACAATATTGAAGGTCTTGGATCTCTACTTCAGCCTAGTCCTGCCATCGCTTAAGTGCTGCTGTGTACGGTGGCCAAAGGGGAGGGAATAGGCTGGTGGAGGAACTGCAATGCAGTTATAAGTGCAGGCAAGCTACCAAGTGCCTGGGATTTGATCATGTGGATGTGGATGTGCTACAATGGCCATAGCTTCCGGCATGGGTTGCAATTTTTTTTCAGCACCATTGTTGTTGTTGTTAATTGAGAAGTCGTGTCCGACCCATCGTGACCCCACGGACAACGTTCCTTCAGCACCATTACAATTTCAAATGGCCACTGAATGAATGATCATATGTCAAGGACTAACTATATATGAAGTAACTAACTTAACTATATTCATGCACTTTTCAATTAAAAGTAAATCTTTTTTTTTTCAAAACTATCTACCTATATATATATATAAGTATAGTATTACAGTGTCCTTTTTCTCAAGCATAAGTTCCCTCCACTCCGCCAATCCAGTTTCAAAAACATCACAATGACGCTTTGGCCAACTATCACTAAGTGATTAGCTTTCCCAATTGCATACATGTTGTTCTCCCTTTAATCTCATCCCCCCAAAGAAGATACTGCCTCTGAGCATTTTCAAGGCCCTTCAAAAAGTGGCAAAGAAAATTGAAATGCACGCATTGAAAGCAAGGATATGTATGTATGTATGTAGGTCTTGGCGTATTCGGGTCTTTTCCCGTGTAAGATCTTACACGGGAAAAGACCCGAATACACCAAGACCTACATACCTGTACTCGTGAAAATCTACGAAAATTGAATGAGACTTCATCGAAACGTCGCCAAGACACTTCCAATTTGACGCGGGAGAAAACCCGAATAACCAAAGACACACACACACACACACATATACACATACACACACATACATATAAACTCCCTCAGTTAAAAAAACCCACAACATTTAATTAATAAGCACCATTTACAATTTATCTTGCATCCAAAAAAGCTTTAAGAACTCTGAACTTATTTTCATGATTCCTTGTTAACAGACAGAAGTTTTACAAAAGTAAATAGAAAACACTTCCATTCAGGTGAAGCTCAGAATAGAAATAGGCTTTATGATTATAACACCATGATTACAAGACAAACAATGCAGGTTTGAAAACATTCTGCATTCCTTCCGCCTGCTTTTACTTTGAGGGGCAAGAATAGGGCTATTCAGTTGTCATTTGAATTTCTTTTTCTGTGTTACAAGCTGGGATTTGCCCAGCCAGCACAGGGTAAAAGCACAGAAGATTTCTTCCAAGATTCCAGGCATACTTTCTCTCATGCCAGATATGTTCAAAAGTGAATAAAAAGTATGCTGGTTGTCTCCTTTGTATAGGTCAGAGCATTCTAGCTTATGATCACACACCTTCAAAGTTCCAGTCTACTTCTTTTCAGTCCTAATTTGCCAACTTACTTTCAACTAAAGGCTGGTTTTGTAAAAACAAAAACTGCCTGCCCAGAGTTTGCTTCATATAATTTATCTACAAAGAGATGATCATTCCTTAATTGGTTCAAGATCAAAGGAACCTGTAGGGCAATTCTTTTGTTCAACAGTAAAGCCTTCTTCAAATCAAACTCAACACCAGGTGACTCATGGATCCGCATCTAAGCAATTTGCAGGTGGTCTATCCTGCTTCCAGGTTACCTTTCTACCTCATCAATTTTGACAACAGCCTTTGCGTTTCTTGGGAAAGATATGTCTGCCTCATTAAGATTTTGAGATCGGTCAAAGTCAGCTTGCTATGAAAGACTACAGAAATTAGGCGATTGAGCTTGGAAGAAGGGATATATTAGAATTAAATACAATTGTGCATGGTATGTAAAATGTAAATAGTGAAAAAGTTTTTTTTAAATCAAATTCATGTTCATTCAGTGCAACTAAATCTGAGGTAATTCAGAATTGAGAAGACAACACAGCAACCAAAACCATAACCAACCAGCAACCAAAACTATCTTGTATATTATAAATACCAGCTGCTAGGTAGCAATAATGAGAAGAGTGCTACTATGAACTTCCTGAAGACAATGTGGGACACAGAATACTTAGACTGGTATACCATTTACAAGATCCACTAAGACATTTTATGTTCTTATGAGCAAAGCCCAATTTTTACTTGATAGAAAGAATACCGGATTATAAAATTACAACTGCCTCTACTTAGAACCAAGTTTATTCTTGCCACACTGTATAGACCAGAATAGTTCTTATTCTGGCATAGAATACAAATGCTGCTAACTAAAATATTTATACCCACCTACTCACAGCTTATTTTTGTATATTGTGTCTCCTATGTAAGACCACTTATTCCCCAAGATGGGTCCCTCCTCATGCAATGGGATCTCCATTCCCCAAATTATGAGGAAGCCTACAAAATGTCATGTTCTTGATGTCACATTCCTGGATGATTTTCCTCCCAAGAGAATAATCTGATGTAAATAAAGGCAATTTAAATTATTGCAGGGAGAGAAAACAGGGTTAAAGTTTGCTAACTAGCGGATACATATTTTTTCTGGAAGACTTTAACATTATTCATCACGCTTTTTATCCAGATCATCAATGTGGCTCTAAACTTATTCCCTGAAGTTCTTTAAAAAAAAAAAAAGTTTTCAAAGAGGAAGCAGGGTTCAAAGTAAAGCAACAGTTTCTAGCATCTTCTTTCTTTGACTCAATCTCATGGGCCTGATGAAGTTCCACTGGCAAAACATACAGAATCTTTGAGCTGAGTCCAGTATCTTCCTTTCTCATGTCAGCAGATAATGTTGAGTTTGCTTCACTGAGTTACATACTAGTTGTAATCTCAGTCTACTTATATGAGGTATCACATTGTTTTTGTGTTTATAAATGTATATAAATACAATACATTTGATCTCAGTGATATTCACCCCCTCAAACCTTTCACATCATAGAATTCTGAGCCACCTGAGTATCAACTGATGGCAGCACCTCAATTCATTAAACACCTCCAAGTTGGCAGTAAATGAATAAAATTGCCAAGACTCTCCAGAAGCAGTACTGAAACACAAATATTCCTTCCCCTATTTCTTTCATAGGCATTAATATTTACAATATAACAGTTGACATTTTTGAGTTGCTTCTGCAAAAAATAACTTCAAAGGGGGTCAGAGGAAAAACTAGGTTAAATACAGGATATCAGTCCACCAAACTGAAGCTCACTTTTTATCAACTTTCCCCAACTTGACATTCCCCAAATGTACTGTGACTGTGACTCCCAAGCTGCTAATATAAAAAGGCATGATATCGTTTCTATGATAATTGCTATGGTTTTCTATTTCTTCCAACATACTAAACCTACAATACAGATCCTTATGTACTGCCAAACCTATCTCAAATTTAAACAAGTTTGTACATCATCCTACAGAATATTTGCTTATGTGTTTCTGGTGCATGCATAATTGCATCCTTTGAAACAAGCAATCA